TACATACATACATACATACATCCTTTAAATGTATATAATGTGTATCTTAACATCAATCAAGCCTGTGACATCCTGCCGATAAACTAGGCCATCTCGTCTCTAGCTGTGTTCGTCGACTAAGCACGTTGGTTCTAGACTCGTTTTCTACCCAATTCAGCGCCAACGGATCAATTAAGCTTGTAGGCCGTCCTCCGGCAGACCGGTGCATCGAGGTCGTGAGGCGCGTCATGCCGACCGCGCTGAGGTGCAGGTAGCCACTGAAGTATGGATGCCCTGCCATAAGCTTTCTAACTGCGTAAAAGGGGAAGGTTCCTCACCGTCGTAGCCGGCCCTGTGGGCTTCATGCTTGAAAGCCGTCTCGTGGAGCACCTTTTGCTCCTGCAACCGCTTCTCAAAGTCCTTCTCCAGCTCCTCCCTCTCAGCCTTGTCTTCGAGGCGTCGCAGGCGGTCTCGAGTCTCGAAAGCCTGCTTAGCATCGCTCAAGTCATCCCGACTCTTCTTCAACTCCAAAGTCATGCGGTGGAAGTCCTGGCGCCGCTGCTGTGCCGCGTCCTTGGGTCCCGGCTCCGTCTTTCTGACCCGCTGAGAGGACCCGGGCGCATTTCCAGGATGCCGATCTGACAGGGCCCAAGATCGGAGCCGGCACCGACACCGGCGTCTTGCACTGCTCAGGCTCAGGAGGCGTCTTTGGCATCTCGTTCCCATTGCCACGCTGTGCCGGTGGCTGTGTCGGCGAGCGCCTTCGTCTCAGTGGCAGCCGGCATGAGCTCAGGACATGCCGCGCCGGGCCATGTCAATGACACGCACTGTCTGTCACACAACACACCAGATCTCTAAACCCCGAACACTGAATGAAACCAAGGACATTCAGCACATAATCGAATCCGTAAACCCTCCCTAACCTAAACGAAGACCCCTGCACCCTATGCCGTCAGCCCGAAGCACCAGGAATTCAGCTCTGAACGCTGCAGCTCGAAAGTTGCAGCATGGCTATCCTACCATTCCCGTGAGGTTGGAGGGCGCTGGGAGATGGGTTTGGGCCGGTTTGGGGTTCAGAGCAAGAATCATCGCTTCAAGTTCCTGGAACCCATGAAAACTGCAAAAAGCTTTGAGCTTTGAACATCCAAAACCGAACCCCCCCCCCCCCCACTCCCTCTAAGGCCCCCCGAAGGCTCCAAAGCCACCAACTCAAAAACCCTGAAGCCCCAAAAAAACAAGTCGACACCTCCCTTTGCCGTTGTAAAGCCGTTGCTGCGTCAAGGGAGTCCATCTGCGACAGAAGGGTTTAGGATTTTTAGGATACAGGGTTCAGGGTTGTCCAGGACCTTTCGCCGGGTTTTGTAAGCCAGTAGCGTTAAAGGTTAAAGATTTTACACTTTTTTCAGGGTTTTCAAGCGTTATGTATTCAGGGCCGGAGGTTCGGGAACAGCTCGATCGTTGAGAACATCTGGGCTTGTCATTTACAGGAGAGATTCGGGTTAAGGGGTTAGGGTTTGGAACGGATGGGGGGGTCCAGGTCCTGGGGAAGTTTGGGGGTTAGGGTTTGCATGTACGGGGTGAAGAGTGTGTAATGCTTGTCCTGGGGTCAATCCTGCTGGCAACCCCGCTCCATTCTGCTTGAATGCATGTAGGTTCTGCAGGATCTTTGCGAAAGCGCAAACGGCTGGAGGTGCCATCCTTCAACAAGATGGGTGCAGCGGCACCAGGCGTGCTAGCATCGGAAGGTGCGCCCGCAGACACGAAGCCATCGCGGGCCGCCTCCCAAGCCAACAGGGCCATCAAGGCAAACCCGATGCAGGCGGGCGTTACGGAACGCCTCCCATTCCTTGGCTGGATAGCCGCCGGTGCTCATGGCGAGCAGCGACCCCAGATGGATCGCTCCGATTACTTATTTTGTTTCGGGGATTGGGTTTGTCAAGGGCCTTAGGGTTCAGGGGTAATGGGTTTAGGGTCTAGGGCCAGTGCCATGCCGGATTCGTAAACTGTTTAGGGTGTAGGCTTTACAAAGGGCTCTGTAGGTGCATTCGTTATGTCAAGTTTAGGGGGTGAGAGTTTAGAGTAGTCAACTGAAAAGCCCGAAGCCCAAAATGCAAAAGCAACCCTTTGTAGGCCCTGAACGCTTTGCAAACCCTGACCTAAAACCTCAACCGTTTACAAATCCCAAATTCTAAACCGTTTATAAACCTTAAACGGCCCTAAACCCCAAGTCTTTTACATATAAATCATATAACCTAACCCGTAAACCCCTGAATTCTCAACGCAAAACACCCTTTACACCCTAAACCCAAAGCGCCGTTGAGGCTTAGGGCTTCAGATCTTATTCCAAGGTTGCAATACTTTCGGGATTACGCCAAAAGTCCTTTGGACCCAAGCTGGTACTACCTACGGCGACAGAAGGCTTAATACGGGTTTCATAGGGGGTTTACTTGGCATTTTACCGGGTTTTGATGGTCCAAAGGAGGTACTGGGTTTCATCGAGTTTAGAGTTCAGGACATGTAGACCCCAAAAAATAAGTAACCCTCCCCCTTACACAATGGTATAACAAGGATTCTGATATGAAAGCCTTAACACAACGAGGCTTATCCATCAGGGGGTTACGTTTCCCTGACTCCTGCCTTGCCCTGAATACAGTAGCACAGGTTTAAGTTGAAAATACACAAACGCACAGAAACCCATCTTCATGTACTCTGCCTTTATATACCCATCATTATTATGGATTACATTCAAGACCTTAAGCTAATTGCCGTAACCTGTAGTAATTACTGAGATCTCCTATCTGGGGTGCGAGTCCTTGCGAGGCTTGCGTAGGCCGGAAACCACAGCCTTAAGAGATGGGATTAGGGGGACCCTTGGGGATATAGACCCTCTCAATAAGGTCCCTCATAAGAGAGCCATAAATAGGGTTAAGAAGGGTCCCCTTTACGGGGTCTCCCTGGTACAACCTAGGAAGCCTTGAAGAGGGGCAGATGATTCGGCTGCTCCGGCATCAGACTCCTGCCGACGGCTTCCGTAGGGCTTCGGGTGGAGGACTTCTGAGTTTTGGGTTCCGGCGGTAGGGTTTTGTTAAAATTTACAGGGTTTAGGGCTTTGTGGTGGACTTTCGAAACGACCCGCTTCTACTCCAGCCGAGGAATACATTCAAACTTCAGACCCCGTTCGACCTCTTGTCGAGTGCTGTCATGGCGACCTTAAACTTATCTCAATGAGACATGTGCTGGCACCAAGCCCTAAATCCCTTAACCCCTTGCGCCCCTACCCTAGCCCTAGGTTGACGTCCCGTAAAGCAGCAATGCTGCGGCTGTGCCGTGCAGTATAGGACATTGTGGGGTATTACGGGGTCCTCACCTGCTTTGTTTGGAGACTTTGTGGCTTCCGCAAAACTGCCTCCTGGCGCTTGCGCTCGTAGCGAAGACCGCCAGGGTCCTGCTCGTGAGGCGCACGATATAGTGGAAGGTAGAGATACATAGGGGCAACGTCGGTGTACGCGCTGTCCGTGAGATAGAGCTCGTTGTTGCAGTGCCCCAATCCAATTGAGCGTAAAAGGTGCAGGCACCGTATTTGATAACGGTGCCCTGCCCAGGACTCACCGATCCATCCACATAGACGAAGTGGATGGCCACTCGACCTGTGCACGCTATGTGACAACCGAGAGCTTAAGTCCCTCGGACTTATAATCCCCTCGTAGTTGGCATTGTCGCTTGCGTGGAGGATGTACCGAAATTCCACTAAAGTTCCTGTCAACCACCCATCCACGCAACCCGGAATTCGACAGGGCCGCGCGCTGCAGGAGGTTTTTCAGTTCGGTGCCTACCGCTGCGCGGTCCTTAGGGTTCACGTGCAGGCCAAATCGTAGGAAGTGGTTGGCCCATGAGCCCAGCATCCGAGGATACACCGCTAGAAGTATATGGTGGAAGCCAGAGGTAAGGGCTCCGGGTCTACGACTTCCCGAAAAACCCTGAACCCTAAACCCTAAACCCTAAACCCTGAACCCTAAACCCTAAACCCAAAGCCTCAAGCCCTTATAAGCCCTAAAACCCTGTAAGCCCTAAACCCGAGTGCCTGAAATGGGCGACTCCCACCGGCCTCGACGAGACTTGGAGGTGTCCTGCTGTGAGCCTCCGGGTTCGCAAATTTAGGGTTTAGGGTTTAGGGCTTATAGGGTTTTAGGGCTTATAAGGGCTTAGGGCTTAGGGTTTAGGGCTAGACTTAGGTTTTAGGGTTTAAAGCTAGACTTAGGGTTTAGGGTTTAGGGTTTAGACTTTAGGGTTTAGGGCTAAACTTAGGGTTGAGTGTTTAGGGTTTAGGGTTCGGGATCCTGTCAATGTTTCTGGAGGTTTTGAAAGGGTTTGGGGGATGCGGGTAGCGGCTGCTTGTATTTAGAGTTGAGGGTTTTGGGGGGTTTTCGGGCCTCACTGCCGTCATGTTCATGTGTCGGGTTCTTGCTTCTGTTTTGTAGGGTTTAGGGTCTAAGGTTTAGGGGATCATAGATAATACGATTTGGGCCTGATTTGAGGTTTCGGTTTCCAAAGACAGACTCTGAATCGCAGTAAGGATGCTTGAATTCGGACGCCGAACCTTGACAACCGTTCTCGTTTGAAACATGTCTCGGTACTCTATACTACCGCTGTCTACTTCGCTCGGAAACCCCTATATTCCTGAAACCTAAAGGGATCGACTGTTTGCTCCTTCTCAAGTGGCATGCGCTGCCTACTTTGGGTGTATACCTCAAAGCCATCCTCGCCCCCCAACACTGCAATACGAAAAAGAACCCCACATACCTACACCTGATGATTTATCAAGGCCACTCACTATTGGGCTTCATAAGGTTTAGGGTTTAGGGTTTGCAGTAGAAGTATACCCATAGGCTCCTTAGCGGTTCCTTTTTGGGATTACCTTATAGGATTCTAAATCTATACCACGAGAAGGAACTACTTAGGAGCCTGCGGGT